ATGCTCACTGTCCTCTTCCTCGGGTTTCCTTGGTTTGCAGCTGTAAGTTGGGCAACCTCCTGCCCAAAGCCCTTCCGTCTAGACTTGCTGAAATAAATCTAAGTCGATTCTCCCGCACGCACAACACCTCGTGGCCAGCATAGACGGAGAAAGGGAAGGGAATCCAGCCACCTCTCCAGGGCTGAGCCCTGTGAAAGCCCTGTAGCTCCCACCTGTGGACTTGGCCATGAATGCCAGCATCCTGCGAGCACTGTCAGTCTGCCTCTTCGCACTAGCCTGGTACTCCATATCCCTTGACTATGTGCCCCCCTTTCTCCTCTGCCCTCCCAGACAGCCTTTCCCTCACCCCCTGACCCCTTGGGCTGACCAAAGTGTGCTTTCTACTGTGAGTCCCTATCCCAAGACCTAGGGAAGGAGAGAACATGGCGTGAATGTAAAAACGTCACCTCTCTGAGGCAGGCCTGCGGGTGAAGGGAGAGGCCTTTACCCGCTAGGCTGATGTTGGGAGCCTGGCCTCCAGTATTCTGTCTGTAGCAGGAGCCAGGGCTGCCACCTCAGTTCCTAGATCGAGGGGAGCCTGGTTGTGTGCCCCCCCCACCCCCTTTTTTTTGCCACATTGGCAGAAATGAAACCTAAGGGTCCCACCCTGTCCTGTGTGTTTGAGTTCTTTCAATAGCAGTTGAGGCTGGTTGGGCGGATTTGAGTCAAATTGTACTTTTGCTCCATTGTTAATTGAGAAACTTTCAATAAAATATTATTTTCTACAATTTTTGTCCTGTGGTTTTTAAAACTTTATTTACTGAATATAAATAATGGATATTATAGAAAATTTGGAAGTTAGAAGCTTGAATAATAAATTAAAATTATCACTAAAACATTAACATTTTGGAGTTAGTTGAGATCATATATGTTCTTTTTTGGAAGACAAAATTGGGGTTTTATTTGTCTCCTAACATTTGGACCACTTTTTTTTTAAAATAAATCTTTATTCAGATTATTACAGTTGTTTCCCCCTTTTTCCCCATAGCTCCCCTCAACCCAGTTCCCACCCCACCCTCTGCCCTTACACCCCCCACTGTCCTCATTCATAGGTGTACAATTTTTGTCCAGTCTCTTCCCGCACACCCCACACCCCTTTCCTCCCGAGAACTGTCAGTCCACATACACATGGAAAATGTAGCTATTTCCATCTGCAACGTGTCCCCATGTTTGGAAAGGTCTCTCACGTCTTGTTCACACTCTACTCAGAAAGGGTACGGAGCCACGTTACGGCTTTTTAAAATAATGTGTCCTCTTATGTTTAAAATGAGGATTTCGCTACCAGAAGTGAGGAGAAAGCAACACTGCAGCTGCTCTTGCCCCTCTCGCCTTTCGGGTGATAGTTGTGCGTGGGGCTGCGAGCTGGTTCACGGGCCATCTGAGCGGCTCGCTCGGATCCGCTGGCGTCCCAGGGACCGTCAGAGCCTCGTGGGGGCCATCACAGCCTCGCAGGGGGCACCGCATCCCACGTTGAGGGTGAAGGTGAGAGGCAGAAGCTCCTCTCACTGTCTCTCCTGCTGCTCCCTTGCGTATCGCCGTTGCTGGAAGTTTCTGAGAGCAGTCTGCAGGTGCTGGACATCATACTTAAACTGGTCAACACGAAGTTCAGCATTCTGTCTTTTGTTGGGCGGCTCCTTGCTGGACAAAATCTCCAGGCGTTCCTGGTGGCTGAATATCTGGTATGCTTGCTTAGATTTCGTTTTCTACCAAGTGCACAGACTGCCTGTCTGTCGTCTCCCGGCATCCCATGTGAGACTGGATCTGGTGGACCTGCTTGTTCGTTTGCTGGCACAGCGGTTCCATGTCGCCGGCCCAGCTGGGTCTGGCTCCGGCTTCCTCCGAACCTGATTCTGTTTCTTGAGTGTGTCCCTATGGATGTGAGGAGTTGAAATCTGCAGTTTGTTGGGTTGGGCTGCAAAAGCGCAGGTGGTTCCTTTTGTGCCACTGGCACAGCTTGGGTGGGGATGTAAATTGAGTAGGGCGGGGTCTCAGGTAATCACCAGGGCGGAGCAAACAACAATGACGTCTCCACGACCCCGAGTGCCAGAGAGCAGCTTACGAGAAAGCCACCCTCGCTCTCCGATCCGCTGCAAGGCCGTCCCCGCCTCTCTCCATAGGGGTCTGGGACCTCAGAATCCCGCCCCAATGGGACTGAGAGCAGCTGCCTCCTGCACACTCCCTACTGGGGATGTGCCTGCAACCAAGGTACATGCCCTTGACCGGAATCGAACCTGGGACCCTTGAGTCCGCAGGCCAATGCTCTATCCACTGAGCCAAACCGGTTAGGGCATGACTTACATTTTTTGATATTTATTTTATACTAGAGGCCTGGTGCACAAAATTTGTGCACTGGGGCGGGGGCTCCCTCAGCCCGGCCTGTGCCCTCTCGCAGTCTGGGACCCCTCAGGGGATGTCCACCTGCTGGCTTAGGCCCGCTCCCCAGGGGGATCGGGCCTAAGCTGACAGTCAGACATCCCTCTGGCATCCCGGGAGCCCTCGGGGGATGTCCACTTGCTGGCGGGAAGCAGGCCTAAGCTGCAGTCGGACATCCTTAGTGCTGCTGAGGCGGGAGAGGCTCCCGCCCCCACCGCTATGCTGGCAGCTGGCAGCCTGGTTTTTGGGTGAGCAGAGCTCACTGACCACCAGGGGACATCTCCTGCACTGAGCGTCTGCCCCCTGGTGGTCAGTGTGTCATAGTGACCAGTCATTCCCAGTCATTCTGCTGTTAGGGTCAATTTGCATATTACCCTTTTATTATATAGGATATTTAAATGCCATTTAACAAAGAAAAATCAACCAAAAAAATGAGTTCGCGTGTCACCTCTGACACACGTGTCATAGGTTCGCCAACACTGGTTTATGGTCCTCTGTCACTCTGTGCTCCTTCCACCACCCTCCACTCATACTCCAAACACACACTAGGAATCTATCATCCATTTTCCAGGAATTTCCCCATGTTCCACTGTTAATTTTTTTTAATATAGTTTATTTTTGAAAAATATTCTTTCATTGATTTCAGAGAGGAAGGAAGAGATAGATAGATCAATGATGAGAGAGAATCATTGATTGGCTGCCTCTTGCACACCCACACTGAGGATGGAACCCACAACCCGGGCATATACCCTGACCAGGAATCAAACCATGATCTCCTGGTTCATAGATCGATGCTCAACCACTGAGTCATGCTGGCTAGCATATCTTCTTTATCGTAGTAAAAATCATTTATGCAAGGGTCTGTTTCTAGTACATCTTGTTCCTTTAATGACTGTCTATACTCTAAACCAGTGACTCTCAACCTGTGGGTCGCGACCTCTTTGGGGGTCAAACGACCCTTTCACAGGGGTCGCCTAAGACCATCAGAAAAAACACATATATAATTACATATTGTTTCTGTGATTAATCACTATGCTTTAATTATCTTCAATTTGTAACAATGAAATTGGGGGTCACCACTACATGAGGAACTGGATTAAAGGGTCGCGGCATTAGGAAGGTTGAGAACCACTGCAAACCATACAATTACCATAACCTTAGAATTGTTATCTTTGGCAATGGAAATGCTCCTCTTCACTTTATTTTTTGTCAAGCTTCTCATTCTGATGCTTATTTTTTCCTCCAGATGATCTTTAAAATAATTTTGTCCAGTTTTCAAGAAATACTATTGAAATTTTGATTGGAACTGTTCTAAAACTCCAAAAGAACTTGGAAAAGATTGACATTTTGACAGTATCAAAATGATAGCTTTTTTTTCAGGCATCCAGTATGACTTACATTTATTTATATTTTTTTTAAATGTTTTTATTGCCAGCACCAGTTGGCTCAGTGGATAGAGCATCAGCCTGCGGACTGAAAGGTCCCAGGTTCGATTCCGGACAAGGGCATGTATCTTGATTGAGGGCACATCCCCAGTAGGGAGTGTGCAGGAGGCAGCTGATCGGTGTTTCTAACTCTCTATCCCTCTCCCTTCCTCTCTGTAAAAAATAAATAAAATATATTTTTTTAAAAATGTTTTTATTGATTTCAGAGAGTGGAAGGGAGAGTGAGAGATAGAGATAGAAACATCAATGACGAGAGACAATCATCCATCGATCAGCTGCCTCCTGCATGGCCCCTACTGGGGATTGAGCCCGCAACTCCCATAACCCAAGCATATGTCCTTACCGGAATTGAACCATGACTTCCTGGTTCATGGATCAATGCTCAACCACTGAACCACACCAGCTGGGCTGATTTACATTTATTCACATTAGCTTTTATTATCTCTTAGTAAAGTCTGTCTTGCTTTTTTGTGATGTCATCTCATTTTCTTTCCTTATTTCTCTATATCTTGGGAAATGGAGAGTGAGAAAACTAGCATGTGAGTCCCTACTATGACTTGATCATTAAGATGTTTTACAATGTTTTCTTTCTTCTTCTTCTTCTTCTTCTTCTTTTTTTAGAGAGAGAAGCACTGATTTGTTGTTCCACTTATTTATGCATTCATTGGTTGATTTTTATTTGTGCCATGACTGGGGA